CCCCCCCCCCCCCCCCCCCCCCCGTAAGGATCCCGGGTCGGAGAATCAGGAGGAGGGGACAAACTCCACCCCTCCCCACCCCCAAGCTGTCATTAACAAGCCCGCTGTCAGGGGCCTGATTCCCCGGATGGCAAGGAAGAGGGAAGAAGGAGGCCCAGGAGGCATCTGGTGACCGAAGGATGGGAGTGGAGAATCGGAACAGAGCCCCATCGCACCCCGAGGACCCTAACCGAGCAGCGCTGGGCTCCTGGCTCGGCACCGAGCAGCTGGGGGGCAGAGTTAGGACCTCTTAGCCCGGGTCACTGTCCCAACCCCGGCTAGGGCGCAGGGGCTGTGCTTCTGTTCCAAGGAACCACTGTCCTCTCCTTCCTTTTCCACGGTTTGTCCTCCTCTCGGCCTCAGCCATTGAATCCTCTGGGGGGAGTATCAGGTCTCGAGTTTTGTTTTCATTTTGGAGAGAGTGAAGAGAGAGAGGCCCGGGAACGTCCACCCTAGGACTTCGGTGCGTGGAGGTGCCCAGCGCAGGTGCGGAAGCCCTCCCTTAGCGTAGTTGATTAACCTAACCCTGCAAACGGCGAAGGGTCTAGTATGGGACTTATCCCGATTGAAGGGACTGAGGGCCCGGAGAGGTGGTCAAACCAGTAACCTTCCCAGAGCCACAAGACTAGTTTTTCCTCAACAACACTTAATACAATCTGAAACTAGGGCTGTTTGCTTTTACTTTTTGTTTTTGGTAACAATCTGCCCCTCTCTGCAGAATGTCAACTCCGTGAGAGCTGGTCCTCCTCTTTTGGCACTCATCCAGCCCAGCACCCTGCCAGGTGCAGAGTTGATCTTTAGCAACCATTTCTTGTATGAATAAGTGAATAGACACGGGAGGCTGTGGCATGAGGTGGCTTCTGGCCCTTTATCACCTCAAGTTCGCAGTACAACTGGATTCATTTGGTGATTGGATGGCATAGGGCAGTAGCATGCTTCAGAACGGCTTCAGACTTGATTCTTAGTCCTGACTCTACAGCCATCGGGAGCTTCTCTTCCACTGTCCAGTGCAATCTGGAAGACTGAGAGAAAGCAGAGAAACTGACTGTACCCTATGGGGCTAGTGCTGGAGGGGGAAGGAGATGTTTTTAATAAAGTCTGTTTCCAAGAAGTCAGGGTTTTCCAATTTAGGTTTCCCACCATAAATAATTTATTAGTGTAGTAATAGTAAAAAATAACTTGTAAAAACACTGCAGAAGGTCCCAAACAAATGGTAAACATGCTAAGAGATGAGACAGTGCTGGGTTTGGTTTTTATTGGGGAGAACAGATTATTTGCAAGGAAGAATAATTAAAGGATGTGATTATTAAAGATGCATGCTAGTTACTAGTAAGTAAGCAATATCCTTGTAGAAACCATAGAGGGCCAGAATATTAAAGATTCAATTTGAATTTTGTTAGAGTAGCAATATACTGCTGGCTCTATCTTGGATGAATAATAATCTCCTAGGACTTCATTTTCTCAACTGTCAAGAACAATTGGCACCAATAATGTCTATGCTTCAGGATTTTTAGGAAGTGTTGTTGATTGGATTATTAGTACCAATTCTTCCTACCTTTGTAGTACTGTTATGCACCCATAACCTTGCCATGGCCTCTTAGTGGGTGATGTGTATTTTTCCACTTCTTGACATTGGGCTGGTCTTGGGACTTGCTTTGGCCAGTGGGATGCTAGTGGATGTGATCTGAGAAGAGGATATGGTGTGTGTGCTTGTTGGTTGACCTTTTATGTTTCTAGTTCAGTGAAAAAAGCATACCCTGGCTAGCCACCATTCTTTGATTTGCTTGAATGACATCATTGTGTTAGCAAGAAATAAATGTTTCTTGTTGAATGCCATTGATATTTTTGTGAACTTTTGTTACACAGCATTATTGTGTCTTTAGCTGAATGCTACAAAAGGTTGACTAGCTGAAAGTTGATAAAAGTTTTTTTTTTTTTTAAACATAAAATTCAAGCACAAGTAGGAAATCACAAAATTTGCCCAATTTTTTTTTTTTTTTTTTTTTTTTTTTGTCTAAGAGCTAATCTCAGGAAGATCATGTTTGTTGAGAGTTCTTCAGCTTTCTCCTACTTAAAAAAAATAGTAGCTCTCATATCTTAACTCAGGCTTCTTCTGAAGTATGATTCACTGCCTTAGATTTCCTCTACTATCAGAAATCTAACTTGGTATATTTTAAACATATGGTTTCAACTAGAAAGACTTATAATGCTGGACCACTCAAGATAAAGAATGTGTTGGGCTGTGTCAGGATCAAACTCAGTGACTTTCACATCAGATGTTGGTTTGACTGTGCCAAGATTCTGTAATTAAAGGCTGTATTTTTGAGCATTTGAGAATCACAAAAGGCAACACTATCAGTGTTATAGCTTCAGGCTGAAGAGATTGCCGTGGATACTCAGAGGACTTCACAAGGCACAGAGTGACAAGGCCTGATGATGTGAATAATGCTGTGGCCATGTATTCCATTGCACAGATACCTAGCCAGTCCTACACAGTTCCCTGAAACAGTTGCTCAAATTGCATGCTGGGTATTTGATGTTTCACTTGTGCTTCTCCTCTATGGAACTGTAAGCCCCTTGCTGGTAGGGACGAGTCTTAGCAGTTTAGTTACCTCAATACCTTATATGGCATATGGTACATGGCAGGCGATCAATTATTCACCAAATGTTTTTGTCTGACCTGGAAGCTATTATTCCAAGACCTCACCTATTGATATCTTATTACTTCTATAGGATAGCAGGGTGAGGAGGAGGAAGACAGCACCCCCAACTCCCAACCCTGTGCATTCTCTAACACTGGTGACTTACCTGTTGGTAAGGCAAATTGGGAAGGTTGTCAAGAGGTAGCATCTTAGAAATTTGAATGTACTATTGCCCTGGTGGCAGATGCTGACTATGCTGATGACACTGTGCTGAGTACCTTGTGAACACAATCCTTTCTAATACCGGTCACCAATCTGGAAGCTAGTAGTTGTCGTTCCCATTTTGCAGATGAGGAAACAGCTTCAGAAAAGTTGAGTCACAGTCTGCCAGAGATCACCTGGTAAGTATGTAGTGGAACTCAAACAGGCACCCAGGTCTGTCTTTAACTTTGACCGGAGCCAGATTGACTGGGTTCAAATCAGGGTTCCCTACTTATAAACCTGTGAAATCTTTGGCAAGTTATTTAACCTCTCTGTACTATACTTTCTTCATTTGTAAAATAAGGATAACTATAACATCTACCTCAAGGGCTGTTGTCAGGATTTATTGTGACAATATGTATGATGTGTTTATAACATGGCCAGCACGGAAAGTAGTTATTGCTATTATCTTTGTGCCAGATCTTTACCTCCATCTTTTATTTGGTTAAGTCCACACCCATCTTCACATCAAATGGCAGGTTTGGAGGGCATGGAGCATGGTTCACTCAGCTAGCTTCCAAATACAGAAAGCATCTGTATAGTGAAAAGATAACTAGTCCATTATTAATTATATTTTATTGAGATTGTAAATGTCCTTATTCTTTACAAAACATAGATGAATTTTCAAAGGCATAGATGGAGCCTGTCCATTTTCTCCTGGGAGTATTCAGAGGCATTGTCTCTAGAAAATACTGTGAAAAACTTGATAAATATGAAGTGCTTTGTTGCTTTTAAACCAAAATGACATTTGCTTATGGTTTTGACTGAGGGACAGACTACTCCTCACTGAAATGCAATGGTATTTTTTTTTTTCATAGTTTCTTTTTTCTGAGAGGGATTTTGTGTGTGTGTGTGTGTGTGTGTGTGTGTGTGTGTGGTGTGTGAAAAATACTTAGCAGTAGTTGTAAGTTAAAAATAACTTTTGCTTATTGGGTGGGGCAGAGGCAAGAATAAACCAAAATCTGTGCAAGTTAAAATGAATTTTAATAGAAGAGGAGATAGAGAAACTCAGGGTATTAAATTTGACCGTTGTCACAGGAATGCATGTATAATGATACAACAATTTGCATATGACCTTACACCCCATCTGCTCAGGGCTGGGCTTCCTTGAAACAGTGTGAACTGCGTTTGTGAGGTGTGTTCGAGCAGGAACTGCCAGCTGTGAGTTATTTTTGGGTCTCTGGCTGCCACAAGTCCTGCCAACTAAACTGAAGTCGGTCAGACACATGTCACTGAAAATATGCTCATTACTTTAATGAGAATCATTTGGCATTCCTCAAGTGTGGGCCTGGTTCTGCTTTGGAGAGAGGGTCAAGGGCATTTTACTATAATCCTCCTTCTTTTGTAGACCACTGGCTCAGTTTGAGTGGAAATTCTTTTCTTCTTTAGTAAATAGCAAAAAAAGTTTGGAGACACAACTGCTGACTTTTGTGTAGCATAAGGAAATGAATGTTATTGTGACATTCACACCAAGGGAAG